CCCATGAAAAACATTGGGTTAAGAAAATTTTAAAACCACCAGGCAGTAGTGGCACACACCTTTAATCCCAGCACTTGGGAGGCAGAGACACTCGGATTTCTGAGTTTGAGGCCAGCCTGGTCTACAGAGTGAGTTCCAGGACAGCCTGGGCTATACAGAGAAACCTTGACTTGAAAAACCAAAAAGGGGATAAAATCTCCCAGTCAGAAGTTAAACATATTGAATAAAAGCAATCCCTCCTTTTGCAAAAAGAGGAGTTTACAAGCTCACTATGCTTGCAGTAGATTCCTTTAATACCTGTGATTTTTGTTTGCCTTACCAAGTAACAGCTCTGATCATCAGACTTCCTTCCTGATTTCTTTTCAAAAATTATCAACTGAAAGTTCAGAAAGGCATCTAGAGTCTTAGAGATCTGAGAGGGTCACATTGCAGTGGAAAGGGGAGTTATGGAGTAGAAACAAAAATAATTTTATAATTTGGGGGGGATTGTTACCACAACAAGAGGAAATGAATTAAAGAGTCTCAGCATTAGGAAAGTTGAGAACCACTGCTATAGAGCAGTGTGCTTCAGTGTGACCAAAATGTCTTGGTTGAAATATTGTCTACTGTGCTCCTTCCTAGAGCTCTTTTTTCAGTTAGTCCATGAGAATTTATGTTTCTAACAAGTTCCTAGATAATGCTGGTGCTACCAATTTAGGGTCAGTGTCTACTTTCATACAGAACTTGTCTTTGTCTAGAGAAGCAATGGCCTTGTCTCAACCACGGTAGCTAAATCGTGGCTGAGAAGTAGGTGAGAAGAACTTGGCGATGGCCTCTCTGACATGGAGTGGTATGTGTGTGAGGCCAGAAATATCTGTATGTATGAGACTGAAGTTGAGTGTACATGTGTACATATATGTTCTTGACATCTATTACCTGGTGTTCAGGTTTCAGCTTCTTAGTTCTTATTATCTAAACGGAATGATGTCATGCTACATGTAGAGAGACAATTATGTAGAATAAAACACCCTAGATATACCTTCAAAACCTTGTTGTCTACAACCATGCTAATAATAAAGATCCGTGTGTGTAAACGTTAAAAGAAAGAAAGAAAGAAAGAAAGAAAGAAAGAAAGAAAGAAAGAAAGAAAGAAAAAGAAAGAAAGAAAGAAAGAAAGACCAAAAATGAGCCGGGCGGTGGTGGCGCATGCCTTTAATCCCAGCTCTTGGGAGGCAGAGGCAGGTGGATTCCTGAGTTCGAGAGTTCGAGGCTAGCCTGGTCTACAAGAGTGAGTTCCAGGACAGCCAGGGCTACACAGAGAAACCCTGTCTCGAAAAACCAAAAAAAAAAAAAAAAAGTTTAAATTTTAAAATTTTTTTTTTTCAATGTTCTATCTTCTTAAGTTGACTCAATTATGCCAATATAAACAGTTCAATCAAAATTAAGGGACCATCTCCTCCCTGAAATTCTTAGGAGTCCAGTGGTGTGGAGCATGTAGAGAGATATTCCTTCCAAGATGAAAGATAAGTTGTTGCACCTGGCTCCTCCCAGCATCCAGAAAGAAGCACAACATTTAATGGGTCTATTTGGACTCTGGAAAAAAACTACAATCCAGGAGTTGTAATGCTGCAGATGTCCACCTCTTGGTGGTGCAGGCATAATGTGCAGGAATCGCCAGTAAGCCAGGTCCTAGTATTCTCTCAGTCAACAGATCATAGTGAACTCCCCATAAGGCTATACGTACATGCTTGGCAACAGTGAGCTCAATTGGTCCAGTCTCTCGAATTGTTCCAGCCACGGCTTCAGTTATGCTCTGCACATTCCCATCACATAGAGACTGAACAGCAAATGCTAAAGCTAGCTTAGCCAGAACTTGGTCAATATCTCAATTTTCTTAGGGCACCCAAAAGATACCTTCGCCCCAGAGATCAGGAAGCAATTTTAAGAGAACAATGGCCTAACTCCCAAGGAGGTTGGGGGCGGGCTGGTCATTCCATGGGTGATGCAAGTTTGTCATCATTAAAGGAGGGGTGGTCACAAGTTGCAAATGGTCTTGATCAAGAAGGAAACAAAGTATGGGAGGTTAGATTCAAAGATCTCCTCTTTTTCTCTTTATCCTTCTATCTCTCCTATCTAGTGTTATGGGAAAGGCCAGGAGAGGGGATGGAAAGAAAAAAAGGAGGGGGGGGGGATATAGGAATAATAGGATAAAAGGGTAGATAATTTTTTAAATGGTTCTTTATTCATAAACTTGATGCAAGTTTACAAAAAGGGTAGATTATTGAATCAACATTTTTTTTGTTGTTGTTTTTCAAGACAGGGTTTCTCTGTGTAGCCCTGGCTGTCCTGGAACTCACTCTGTAGACCAGGCTGGCCTCGAGCTCAGAAATCCGCCTGCCTCTGCCTCCCAAGCGCTGGGATTAAGGCATGCGCCACCACTGCCTGCGAATCAACTTTTAAAATAAAGAGCATCAACAAACTAAATATTTAGATTGACATGGCATTTTATACATTGAAAGAAAAAAGAAATTTAAGGTTATATTTCATTACATATATAATGTACTAGATATATGTTTTCACTCCTGTTTAAGGTATTGTACCATTGTAACTCATTTTAAAATGTGATATAAACTTCTAGTCCTTAAAACCTACTATTACAAACTGTTTAGGATAATTAAGAAATGCAAGTTAGTAGTCGATCAAACTTGTGGTTATCATGAATACTAATTTATTTAATTATATAAATACGTTTTATTTAGCCTCCTGTAGATGTTTTCAAAGTTTCAGATAGTAAATATCTAGAAACAAGCAATGTCTGCCTATTCAGATATACCTTAGATGATATTTAAACACTTCAGTGAACTGTAGAATATGGCATTTATGAAGTTTTGTTAACAAAAGTCTTTTTGTCACAATGAGACATGTCTGCTCCTGGCAGCAACCCAATAATACTTCAAAAATGATGATGAGCACCATAGAACCTCTATATAAAATGTGCTTCAAATGTGGCAAACCTAGACACTGGGCAAAAACCTGCCTTTTGCCGGGCACTGGTGCCTGCAATCCTAGCACTTGGGAGACAGAGGCAGGTGGATTTCTGAGTTCGAGGCCAGCCTGGTCTACAGAGTGAGTTCCAGGACAGCCAGGGCTACATAGAAAAACCCTGTCTCAAAAAAAAAGAAAGAAAGAAAAGAAAAAAACCCTGCCTTTGCCTTAACTGTTGACAGCATACTGCCCAAAACTTGAACAAGACACAAAGGAAGATGACTGCAGAACTTGGCCAAGACAAGGTAGGCCAGTCTTTATAACTCCTGGTTTATAAAAGTCTGTCAGATATTCTGGGCCAGTAGGCCAAAGATGAACACTCGAATGTTGCAGAAGTTTGGGTGGCTAACCAGGCAGCCAGCAGTCTCTTTCATTTCTATAATTTGGAAGCTGCTTCTCTGTACTTCCTGCTTACTTAAGTAATAATATTTATGCTTGTCAGGTCTCTGATGAGGTCAAAGACTACATTGTTATAGTCAGACATTAAGTTGTTTAGGATGTAAGAAATGTTGTAAGGTCTAAAATGATGTTTTTATGTTGATAAATGGAAGTTAATGATAGAAAGTGATTTATGTATAGAACTTCAGACTTGCCAACATAGAATAGTGTGGAGAGCTTCTGGGGCTGCTTGTCAAAAATCTGACATTGGCCAAGGACAAGGATATGGACTTTAGGCAGGAATCTGACATTCGGCCATGACAAGGAAGTAAGTTCAGGCAGGAATCTAATTTTAGGCTAAAACAGAGAAGTAATTTCAATCAGGAATCTAAGTCTTAGGCTAGAATAAAGAAGTAGGCTTCAGCCAGGCAGTGGTGGCGCATGCCTTTAATCCCAGCACTTGGGAGGCAGAGGCAGGCAGATTTCTGAGTTCGAGGCCAGCGTGGTCTACAGAGTGAGTTCCAGGACAGCCAGGGCTACACAGAAAAACCCTGTCTCGAAAAAC